AAAAAAAAAAAAAAAGAAAAAAAAGTGTGGGGAGGAGTAAGAAGAGCACGGTATGACAGTTCTTACAAGATTAAACGAAATAATATTAGGGTCATGAAAATGAGGAAAATCCTCGTTCGATGACAAAGTCGTCTAAACTATTTTGTACCGAGAATTAAAGGCGTGTTCGTGAAATTCGCGATCTTTTTAAGATGTTTACGCGTATTCGTGAAAATGAAGATTCATGCCATGGAACGCACTACGGTTAGAAATTAATTAATTTGTGACTCATATTTCTGATGTCCGCCCTCGATGTTCCGTGTTGGTCCTGCAGGGATACGCCGGATGTTTGAGTGAAAGGGAGAGAGCAAGAGAAACGGTATGTGCGTGTGTACTAATGGAACTGTATAAATAAAGTCATATCAATTTGGAATAGTTCATGTTATCTAGGATATACTATTACTACGATCATTATCACAATATGATTAGTAAGAGTATTGTAATTGTATAATAAACTGCGTCATAGATACCTCATGCATTAGCACCGTCATTAGAAGTGATCCTTCAAAGTTTACTTTCTATTGAAGCTATAATTTCAGCTCTAATTGCTTACGAAAGATAAAAATAACCAAACGACTGTTGATTACAATCGTGCATCCCGCCAATAAAGTCATATAAGTCCGTATTATACCGTATGATGGCAGTAGTGTTCCTCTTTTCCCGCGTCTTATACTTCGAATGCTGTAAGCTGCGGTAAGTTTACAATTTTATTCAATTATAGCTGGTAATTTTACGAAATTCTGCACTCGTTTTTTTTGCCGAATATTTTTTATGCTCGGTGATGTATAATATTCAATAATTATTGGATATAACGTAATATTTTTTATCTTCTATTCACATTCGATTTGAACCGCCTATTATCGGGTTCCATCTTGCGTTTGCGTGCTCGTACAACGATGAGAATCAATAATATAACCTTAATTCGAAGTCGACAATTTTTAAGTGTCACGTGTGGCAACCAAGTAAACAAACGCAAAAGTTTTGAACATAAATGTTAACTGGAATTTGTTCTACTGTACGAAACATATTAATCGTGCTTCTGTAAAGTGTACATAACCTGTCGAACGTCAATCGGAAGTTATATTTCGAATTTAATCATTTAGTGCAATGGTAAAACAATAAAATATCGAGTGAAAAAATGAGTGATTCTGAAAACGAGAATGATCCTAAAGCAACAGGACCAGTGGACAATGCCTGGTCATTGAAAATTCCGGCTTTCAAGCCAGATCACAATCCTCACCGTTTGCTCGAAGAAAGTTCGTTTGCAACTTTATTCCCTAAATACAGGGAACAATATTTAAAGCAACATTGGCCTTTAATTGAGAAGGCTTTAGACGAGTATGCAATAAAGGCTGAATTAGATCTTGTTGAAGGTAGTATGACTGTGAAAACCACCAGGAAAACATGGGATCCATATATTATAATTAAAGCTCGTGACATGATCAAACTCATGTCTAGGTCTGTTCCTTTTGAGCAAGCAGTTAGAGTACTTCAAGATGAGATTGGTTCAGATATTATAAAGATATCTTCTTTCCTGAGAAACAAAGAAAAGTTTGTCAAGAGACGTCAGAGACTTATAGGGCCAAAAGGCTGCACGTTAAAGTCCATAGAATTATTGACAAACTGTTATGTTCTTGTACAAGGACAAACAGTGGCTGCACTAGGGCCGTACAAGGGTCTTCGACAAGTCAGACGCATTGTCGAGGATACCATGAAAAATATTCATCCTATTTACAACATTAAAGCATTAATGATTAAGAGAGAGTTGGCGAAAGATCCAAAATTGAAGGAGGAAAATTGGGAAAGGTTTTTGCCTAAATTCAGTAGTAAAACTACTAGTAAGAGGAAACAGCCTAAGAATAAGAGAGAGAAGAAACCTTATACTCCATTCCCGCCCCCTCAACAGGAGAGCAAGGTGGATAAGATGATAGCTTCTGGAGAATATTTCTTGAAGGAGGAACAAAAGAGAGCCAAGAAAAAGAGAGAACAGGATATCAAGCACCAGGAGGCTGAGAAGAAGAGGCAAGAACGCCGGGCACAGGCATTCATACCTCCCGAAGAACAGTCTAAGAAAAAGGGGGAGCAACAAAAGAACAATATAGATTTAAGTGAATTTAAAAGCAAAGTTAAAAAGGCATTGAAGAAGAGAAAGGTTCAGTCATAGTACTTGTTTGGAAATTATTAGACTCATTTCTACCGAGTTGATTGACTAAAACTGTTTGTACATGATATTTTTAGTAAAATAAAATACTTGTTGGTAAATTTCTGCCTAAGAAATACTCGCATAGTTTTTGGAATAACTCCATTCTTTTATTAAAAAAACCTTGTTCCTATGAGTACTTTAATATCGCGTTCTTAATGTACGAGATGCAAATATATATAAGCATATACCAGCCGTATATATCTATATATATTTCGTTCAGGTTTTTAGTATGATACACTTGCAAAATACAGAGTCGTAGAAATACAACGTTTACACCTTGAAGACAGGTATTTAGTATCGAAAACGAACGTCCACACGTGTATATATAGATATTTCCTTTCTTTTTTTTTTTTTTTTTTTTTTGTTTTTTTTTTTTTTTTGATGATATCTCTCTCTCAATATCCCATACATAAATTAAATTCTTCAAAGAAAAATTCATCCCCTCGTAGCTATTTTTTAAGTATAGAAACGTTGCTTTCTCATACCACGTCTTCGGTGCGTTAATCTCTTTAAACGTAATAATTAAATGGTAATCAAAAAGCAACCGGTATTCAATTATACAACAGGATTTAAACGATCAATCATTGGCTTGCAACAGCACGTTACCTTAATAAAACGCGGGGCTAACAAAGTATTCAACGTATCGTAAATGCAATGGAGAAATCGGAAATATTCGTGACAATGTACAGCGTAATTCCTTATTGTTAGTGGAGCACGAAGAATCGAGTGCCCTGTACTTAATCCTTAAACGTTAAGTCGGAGTTGCTCGTTTTATCTTACAGTTTACAGATTTATGGAAGTACGACGCTTTATTTAACTTAATATCGTAGACACGTTATGTACAGTTCAGCACGCGATTATGGTTGCCTGGTTACTCGCGAAACGCGCGACGAAAAGTAGGCGAACAACCTCGTGTGTTCGCCTCGAGTTCACACGGAGACGCCATGGGACGGGTGACAGACGATTAATCGATTCGCGTACAAGTATTTACAGCGCGTCGATCCGCGAGTCGATCGGGAGGAAGCGGAAGTTCGAAAGGACCGAGCTCCATCCCCGTTATTCTACGCGTTTCAGCATCCTTTTTGATATCTTGTTCGTTCGATTATTTTCCTTTTATCGATAGATTTTAGCCTTTAGATTATCGTTTCGTGGATCTCGCAGAGATCTTGCCGAGAAATCGGGGGAAAAGATTTAGGTGTAAATGCAATCGTTTGGAGCGTTCACTTTAGCGATCGGATGAGAAGATGTTCGAATTAAGATACAAGGGAAGTAGACGATAAGAGCACACCATATGCAATGACATCTCAATCGCATATCGGACTCGGAACATTATTATGCACGATGTATGTGCTCCTAATCATAAAAGTTTGCGCCGAATCAACGGCTTGGAGTACGCTTATTCATAGGAATTTTTCATCAAACGAGATCCTTAAACCCATATGTACAATGCACCAGTTCGAAGTCGATTATGTCCGTACTATAGTGTTCGATAGCTTAGCTTAATCTGATTTTTCGGGTAGAAACAACCTTTTTCTTCGAATGTACACCGCTCTCGTAAAGCTACGAACGCGTGTAGACGATTAGGGTCGCGGTCATATCATACAAAAGCTTACAATAATTCGATAGCGTAACTGCTGTGTACATATATACGTGTGTTAGAGCTTGAATGCGAGATGACGGCAGTCGGATCATTGTCGTCGTGAAAGTATCAGTGTACAAAAGACCGTTTTCTCGCTACATATTGCTGTATAGTAGTCGCATCATTCTCTCGCCTTCGAGCGACTCGACGTGCCTTAGGTAACCTAATCGATACGATCATCGAACACAGTTGTCGTTTGAATAAATGGAATTTTGTAAAATTTTGTTATCAAGAGGCTGACGATGAAAGCAATCGAAGGAAACGCGAGTGATCGAGCAGGGAGCTCATCGCGGGGCCAGGATCAACAACGTAATCGCTGTTCCGCGACACGTCGAGCCCTCTCGAGGAGAGCACACCGCAATTCCCAGCTATTCGCACAACCAAGTAAGTATACAATTTTCTTATAGAAAAATAAATCTCTTTGTGAGAATGGTAGCGCATGTCTTTGGATCGAGAAGCACCGGAATCGTACCGCAATCCGCTATTCGATCGCGGGACACGAATCGATATCGACGCGCCACGTTTATCGTGTTCGTGTGTACGTGTATGCGAGTTGCGTGGTCGGCTAAGAAACAAGAGTCGATCTGGAAATAGCTTTTTCGTTATTTTGCTTTTTTAATCCATCGTTTAAGGCCGTGAAAATAGGGGAATTGATAAAACGATATTGTATTTATTGTTCCGCTTCATTCTTGTGGAAACAACGCTCGTGAGCTGACCGCCATTTAATAACAAATCGCGCGTCGATTAAACGGGAATTCGTAAGTTATTTCGATGTTCGTTAAACGAATATTCGAACGGCGAGCGAGTCGAGAGTACGCTTAAAATTACGACGTTGGAATATTTTCGTTTCCTCGCTCGTCCTGATTTTTAATCTACATGATGGAATTCCAAAATGATACCGTTTGAGATCAACGAGGTTCATATAAATGCACCGGAATGAATACGTTTCGAAACAGCTGTTCGAAATGAATCCTCTGCCGACTAGGACGTCGACGTTCAATTCGACCATACAATCCTGTATATCACCGATCAATTAAAAAAGACAGAAAAAAGAGAAGAAAAGCGTAGATACGATTCTTTGTTCATCACAAATCAATTCCACAGAGGGTGAACTTCGTCTTCGACTCTCCCTAAAACCTTCTTGTCACTTCCAACGCGAAATAAAAAGGAAACAACCTGTTCCTCCGCTATGAAACGCCGAAAACAGGCATTCAATTCCAAGTTCTTCAGAATCTCTCCTTAAATGTTTCTTCGAACAGTCTCGTTAAACCTATGAGTACATCAGGTCGATATATCACCACCCTAATTAAATCCGTTCTCATCTTCGCGCCTGGTCGAGAAGGTTCTCCCGTTTATCGCGAGACCACCGAACCCTGTGTGAATCATCGACGGGTTCGAGCGAGCAATCTTGATCTCGGATCGATCGGATTGCTCTCCCTCAACAGATCGACCCGTCTTCTCCTCGTCAGATACTGTAATTCTTCAGTCCTTCGCGAATGACGACGGCAAAGCGATCTTCACGAGACACCGGAAGTCATCATGAGCTAGTGATTGTGATTGTACAGGTGCCACCTCTGCGTCTCGGCATT